CCAGTCAGTCACCGAATGAGACATGGTGTACTTTCAAAGTTTTGGTACAAGCAATGAGGATGTGTGTGTGTGTGTGCTGTGTGTGACTGTGTGTGTGTTGTGTGTGTGTGTGTGTGTGTGTTGTGTGTGTGTGTGTGGTGTGTGTGTGTGTGGTGTGTGTGTGTGTGTGTGTGTGTGTTGTGTTGTGTGTGTGTGTGGTGTGATGTGTGTGTGTGTGTGTTTGTGGCTTGGTGGTTGTTGTGTGTGTGTGTGTGTGTGTGTGTGTTTGTGTGTGTGTGTGTTCCCACCTTGTGTTTGCTGGTGTTCCCAGTTTTGCAAGCAGGCGGGCTGGGATGAGGAAGGAGTTGTCCTGATGGGCAGCTCTGGCAGGTAGTACCAGCCCGCTGTAGTAGCCAAATCTTTTGCTTTTTCCTCTGGAGTGGACCGACTGGACGCTGACACCCTGAGTGAGAACGTCCTTGGTTACGTTTTATACTGTGGGTTTCATTTACATCTTATTATTAAATACATAGATGATGGTTAAGGGTCTCTGAATACCTCTGTAATCCATGAGGAAAACCAGGTTAACTTTAAAGAAAAGGTGTCACAAAACTGGGGATCAAAATGGGAAGCACCAAAAACGTCTATCTTAAAGGGTAGGGAAACACAGACAGTACGCACTCTGCGTTTGGACCAGCCCTGCAAGGGTCAGTCAAATGATGAAATTGAGAAATGGGTCAATGTTATTGTCCTTAAGGTGTTGCACAAGTCATCTTTTCGATGCTAAGATCTTCTGGAGCAGAGATCGGAGATAGCAAAAGGTTGTTGGAGCAGATAACTCGCCGTTAATATTGTCCAGTTTATTGCCCCTCGCTAAATAGCACACCTAATCCAAATGAGTAAACCTGTAGATAATAAAACAAGATAGTCCACAGTTTTAAAAAGGGAACTCTGACCCCAATTAAGGTAGTATGTTGTATCATGACCCACGTAAACCTGGGAACATGATTTTGACTGCAAGTGATAACAGAGTAGTAGAGA